TTTTTCTTTTTTTTTTTTTTTTTTTTTTTTTTTTTAATATTATTATTTGTTTTGTATCACGCATCTTTTTATCATTTTTTTTAAATTTATGTTTTTGTACAAGGCGTCTTTTTATGGTTTTATATTTATTTTAATTTATGTTTTTGTCTTTTTTGTTTTTGTTTTTGTATACATTATTTTGTTCTTTTTTTTTTAATTTACGTTTTTGTCATTTCTTTTTTATTTGTATATATTTATTTGTTTTCATTTTTTAAAAATGGGTTTTCATGTGTTTCATTTTTTTTTTCAAATTACGTGGCAAATGGTATTTTCTATTTTCCATTTTTTTTTGTTGTTGTTGGATGAGGCTTATTTTTGTGGTTCTGTTTTTTTCTCATTTACGCTTTTGTCAATTTCTTTTTATTTGTATACATTAATTTCTTTTTAGTTTTTAAAATTGGTTTTTCATGTGTTCTCTTTATTTTTAAATTATGTGGCAACTGCTAATTTATGTTTTTATTTATTTTTTATTTTTTACTTGTTTGTTATTTTTGGAAAAACGTTTTCTCATATAATTTATTTAAAATGATGTCAAAAATCATAATATGTATTGCCGTGGCACATGATAATTTGTGATGTCTCTTTTTTTATTTCTTGTTGTTGTTTTAAATTGATCTTTTTATGTTTTTGATGGACGTGGCACATAAATTTTGATTTTGTTTTTTTTATTTTTCTTATTTGTTTGACCTTGGTTTTTTTTTTTTTTCTTCTCGAAAAGACTTTTTCCTGTGGTTTTGAGTTTTTCAAAGTTAGGCACGTCACCAACTGAAAGAGATTATATTCCCGTGCAAACACATACATATTGTACATGATAATATATTTGATACAGTCTGTTCCACGTGTGTTACCAATGTTACAACCCTACGAATATTAGGTGGACTATTATATATTTCCTAACGTTCCGTTATTACGCAAGTACACTACCTTGTCGCGTATGCGAAGTCGCACCAATGCCATATGCGGATCCTCATCCCCAACCATTAAACCATGCTCGTCATGTTCAACTTCTGGTACGACATTTACTATTGTCATAGTCCCTTCCTCGTCGCAAATTGGAAGAATAATTGTTGGATTACCTGTATTTCGCCGTATATAATTATGTAATGCCATTGACGCATCTACTAACTAAACTTGCACATTTGCAAAGTCATACCGAGGCATGTCTCGAATAAACCCCATCGATTTTTCTAGTCACCGAAAGTGCGTTCCACCACACTGCGTAACGACGAGTGAACTTTGTTAAATAATTCCCTTGGGGTTTTTGCCATCCTGTTCCGTTGACTACTTCGGAATTGTTGTTGGTGGTAACGGCTGCCTTTGAAAGGTGCTAGGTAACCTACCTGGTTTGGATAGCCAGAATCGACAAGATAATATTTTCCTGCAGGCAGTAGAAGAATTTATGACACGATGCTTGACATTGTCCTTCATTTTCAAGTAACGCTGTTTCACGAAAAATTATACCCCCATCAATTTTTCAATGTAATGTGTTACCTTCTTCAGGATGTGGAAATGAGACATTGTTATTTGTTACTATCTCATTGAAGATGCGACTATCATGCATACTTCCTTCCCATCCGCACGAAATGAAGATGAAACACATGTCAAAATCGCATGCGGCCATGATATTTTGCGTGTGATAGTATTTCCTACCGAAATATTTTGACGCATCTGGCCCCGTAACCCATGCACTTACATGTGTTTCGTCTATAGCTCCAATACAGTCCTTCCAATAACCCAATTGTATTGTTACTCCTACGGGTACATGTAATCGTTATTTTTATACGTCACGTCCACTTAAAAGTAAAAACAAAATAACTGGACTTTGCACAAATAACTGGGTGAGGTTTTTCAATAGTACCTTGAACGGTAGGTATTTTCGTTTAGACTGCACGTATGAATGTATACGATGCTGACTATATGTGGGCCGGCAATGAACAACAGTGAACTCTTTCATGGAATTTAATACGTTATGCACGTGCCGAGACACAGTCTCCCCCGAATGTTGGAACCGTTCTTGGATTTCTCGATTTTGTATCCCTTTCAACACGTGGATAAACATTGCAACGCTTTCTTCAACAGCTAAGCCATATGGACGTTGCGATACTTGTAACCCAAAATCATTTACTAATGTCTCACACAAAGCGGCAAAAACTTGCTTCGGCATGCAAACATTTTCCTCAAATCGACCCATATGGCCCGCATACAGTTCGGATATCTATGCATGCCCGGTCAATATAGAAGTGCGACATGGTGTTTTAGCCATGTGTTTTTCGTACCACTCTGTCATATACTGGCATGCTTGTAGAAATGTCCAGTTGTTTTGTTGTAGCTGTACGGCTATTTGATTAAGCATTTTCCTTAAATCGTCATTGTTGCTTCTATCCCAAGAATTCATCACGTCTTCATTGTTGGGAAACCTACAACAGTGGCACGATTTCAATCAATTTCGACATGATGCATTGACTCAAATGTAATAACAGCTTGCAATTACAAAATGCCGACATCCTTTTTAATGTAAAAAATTGACTTCCCTTATGGCATTACTAACGCGTAACAGTAACGTACAATTGCATATACAATGATATGAATTAAACAAATAGTGAACCTGGTCGTAATTGTCAAAAAGGGGGACCATTAATACAGCAATGGCATTACTAACACAACCACAAAAGATGACGTCAAACTAACATAACAGTTTCTCAAACAAAATAAAATTCAAACACAACCATCCTGTTCCATTCCAAAAAAACACACAACCATACTTCCATTCCGTCTATCACAAACATACAAATCACAAAAGACCATAGCTAGCAAGAAAAAAAAAATTGAAAAAAGTTTAAAACATGCTCACACAACCATCATGTTTTAGTACAGTTCCAACAATAACTAAAATAAAAGTTTTCCAACGTAAGAGAAGGGCAGGCATCTTCAGCATTACACTGCTACATTACATCCGGTGAGCCCCAAACAGGTTAGCAAATGGCGCCGACGTAGTACACTAGAGCTGCTTCTGTGTAAGCCACCCTATAATGTGATCGTCATCAGGCTGGCACATTATCACCTCTCGGTAATCTGCGTTATCCAAAAGTGTCGAGGCGAAATGAAATAGCGGCGTACCAATAAGGGATGGAATATTCGTCAGGCGATGCATGCACTCCGAAATTGTGTACAGTGATTCGTTACCTATGAGGTGCCTCACCGTAACCTGTTGATTCTGGGTATGAACCACATTTGTTAGATTGTTCATGCTTTCTGCAATAACTGATGCTCCACTTGTTGCCTTTTTCGACTTTGAAACACTTGTTGATGTCGTCTTTCTCCTTTTTCACTTTTCAGTCAGAACAAGTTCCAGTGAAGAATCTGAATCCACGTCATGTACTCCTGTAGGTATCGGATTAGCAAATGGCTGCGCTTCCAAACTGTTCACAGAATCAGATGAGTCCTCGGTAGCTTTAGGAAGTTTCTCTCACGGGGCCCAATGGTGTTTACCAGTAGCTGATGTCCCGATAAAGACCATCTCCATCAAGTCACGATGTTCCAAAGTTTTTTTCCTGAACTTGGCACACACCTTATTTATTTGCACAATTGGAGATTTATGAAAGAGGAAGACGTTACATTTCATATAACAAGTAATGCAGTTTACTAAAAAGGTTAAATTGACTGGTAACCGACAAATATGAAACGCAACAAACATGTACTTACCAATTCCATCTTGTCCCACCACTCCTCAGGTGCCTGAAACATACCAGTGTCACTGTCAAACCCTATCCCCGACACTCCTTTGCTTGAATCCATCAACTTTGTCCACACTTGCCACTCTTTTTTCAAACTCATGTATTTGTTCTTCAACTGTTTCAGGCCATGTTTTCTTCCTGTTTTTTTCTCACATTTCCTTGCCAACGACTTGTACCCTGCTTGGCTGAGGACTAGGAATAACCGATTTCCTTTTGTAATCTCATTTACAATCAACTGCAGGAAAATTCAAATTGAGTCACTGTCCCATGAGGCCTTGTGGCTGAACTGATTCTGTGTCTCTTCAAGACTGCTTGACTTCTCCGTCACAATGCCTTTGCTTTTGGATTGGGTACGCGGAGACGTACGTATGGAAGCCATTACTAATGTACGGTTACAAAAAATCACCATCACATATTTGGTTGTTACATACAAATGTATAAACCCATAGCAGAATAATTTAAATTGGTTGCACGATGCACAATCTATGCCCATGAACAATAAACAAAGAAATTGGATACTAAACTTGACAGCATACAACCATTGCACATTAATAAAATACATAAACAAACATGCAACTGAGTGGTGGACATAGTTATGATAGTCATTAATACGTCTACCTTTTCATAGTGGAGGAACGCAAAGCAAGCTTATAGCCATACTAAAACATACTACCAACCTCCTAACATTCCGAACATACTAACAACATCCTAATGTTCCTTACATACGCAACAACAAAATGACAACAACAATGCATAGCACAGAGACAATGGTCTTAAGGAGGCGTAAGGATTGTTGAATGTGCATGATATCATCCCACAATTGCATGACAATGTCGTTTCTGGAGGACGCATAGTCCGTGCTCTCTCGCCTTGGTTCTTCGCACCAACCAATTCAACTGACACAGGGCTGATGAGTGCAAATGATGAAATTATTAGTCAATGGGTTCTTAATGTTCATGCAGTTATGACCGGTAATGAATTGGGCACTCGCCATAGGGCAGGGACATGCAAAGTAGGGATTGCTTGGATTTTTGATGTACCTTGAAATCTTAACAATACAGGGGCCATGTCCACAGGCACACATTCGACGTGGTGATGTACTAGAAGTTTCACCAGAGGTAAACGAAGCCATGCTATGTTTGACACACATTCAAAAGTAACAATGAATCATAGCAGTAATTAGTTTATGATATCCATATTTCAGGTTAAACATGAACTGAATACGCTGATGCACAAGTTTCATAGGATGGGTATACGAAGTCATTATTTGATTAATAATAGTGTAGCTGAAGTTCCATAGATTAATAATGCACAAGTTTCATAGGATGGGTATACATTTATGAATCCACAGTATGATAATAGTGTAGTTGAAGTTCCATAGATTTTCTAATAACAGTTTATAATAATAGTGTAATAAGAAGTGAAGTTGAATAACCACCAAAAAAAATCTCAGATATATGAATAAGGCCAGATATGGAGACAGATTTTTTGAAGAGACGCGGAGACATTCTCAGATTTATGAAGACAAAAGCAAAGGGTTTTATTCAAATTTCAAATTATTATCAATACATTAATTTAGTTCAGATTTCAGCAAAAAAAATTGATTACAAATTCCAGATTTCATAAAAAAAAATAAGGAAAATCAGAAATTCAGATTTCATAATTCAAGAAAATCATATTTCATTTAGCATTCAGAAATCAATAAACACTTTGATTTCTGATTTTTTTTTTCAATGAGAATTATAAGAAATCAAATAAAGAATTTACACAACTCAAATTTGTTTTGTAAATTTAGATTTTTGTAAGACACATGGAGGCATTCTCAGATTTATGAAGACAAAAGCAGAGGGCAAATTCAGATTTCAGATTATTATCAATACATAAATTTAGATTTCAGATTTCGGCAAAAACATTGATTAGGAATTCTAGATTTCAGAAACAAAAAAAAAAAAAAAAAAAAAACACACACATGATAAATTCAGATTTCATATTTCAGAAAAATCATATTTCATTCAGCAAAATCAATGAACACTTTGATATGAATTTTTTCCTTTTTAATGAGAATTATAAGAAATCAAATAAACAACCATCCTGAAATTTGTTTAAGACACATGAACAATTTACAAATCAATGAACAATTTACAAACTAAATTATAAGACACATGGAGACATTCCAGATTTATGAAGACAACACTGAAATTTGTTTCACATGGAGGCATTCTTTTTCTAAATTCAAAATTTTTTAAGAGACATGGACACATTCACAGATTTATGAAGAAGACAGAAATTTATATTTCAGATTTCAGCAAAAAAATTGATTAGAAATTCCAGATTTCAGTTGAAAAGGAAAAAAAATGCAAACAAAATAACAAAACATATAAACATCTGTTGCACGCAATATGAAATTGAATCTGAAAAAAAGAAAAAAAAAGACTAAAAAATGATAACATTTCCCATAAATCAGAGTAAAGATCTAAATTTCAGTCCATAAACAGGACAAATCCAAATGGTTTCAAAATAAAGAATGACAACATTTCCAATAAATCAGCATATACAGGAGTGAAGAATGAAAGAGGTCGACCCAATAAATGGAACAGACCATGGATGGGGGTAATTTCGGAGATCAATTTTGTACAAATAAGCAAAACACATGTGTTGAACCAGATTTTTTTGCAACATCTAAATAATACAGTTCGGTTATCTCAGATGCCAAACAAAAAAATAACATCCACAGTTAGAAATTTCCGTTTGTACTCAAAACCACAGCAGATCGGGGTTGAAGGAGATAAAAACGACCGAAAACGAAAACAAAAAAAAAATTGTGTACTTGACGATTGGTGGTGCCGACGAGGCGATGGTTGTAGTGTCGCCGCCGATGTACAGTCCGGTGGGCTTGGGCTATGGACATCGTCACTTGCTATTCTTCTTGGCCGACGGTAGTGGCTGATTTTTTTTCGCCCTCCTTCTTCGACAACATAAAGCCCCAGGTGAGGAAAAGTGTTTGGCTTGGTTTGGTGCTGCTCTACCTATTGGCAAGGAGGTACTTTGGTAATTTAGACAGACCCTAAACCACACCCCAGGCACGTGCCTCTTTTTTGTCTATTGTGGACACTTTAGCCTTTTTTGGACGTTTGCGGCTAATTTAGCCCAAACTTGTCTTGTCAAATGACACTTAAGACTTTTTGACTTTTTAACTAAAAAAATTACTTGTCAAACGAGGTCTAAGTCTAAGTACTTATAATTTTATCTGGAAAAAATAAATGATCGAATTTAACTCTGATATAGTAAGATAAATAATATTATATGCACCAATTAGTGTACTAAATAATGTATCAATTGATGATATGGCATAATTTAAGAGGTTTTTAGAATTTGTAATGTGATTAATGAGTGAAATCAATAATAATGTCATAACTAGTATTGGTACATTAGTTAGTACATTAATTGGTACATATAACACCACTATAGTAAGATACATTCTTAAAATAAATCTTGATTAAACACAATTTCTTTTTCACCAAGGATCCTCTAGAGTGAAATTTCCCTAAAGTTTCCTAGAGTGCTCCATTGTGTGGTTGAGATTCACTGGCAAGTCACATCAGAAAAATTGATGTGACTTGCCAATAAATCTCAACCACACAATAGAGCACTCTAGGAAACTTTAGGAAAAAATCACTCTAGAGGATCCTTGCTCTTTCTTTTTAGGATGAAATTGTGGATATCTAAATTTATTGCCTAAAGACACATTCCATTCAACACCTTTGGAAATTTGAGAATCATTCATTCTTTCTACTAAATTGAGATTATTGTTCGCGGTGATTATTTATTTGAAAATTTTCGTTCTTTTTAGAATGGGTAAACTAACTTTCCTTGAGATTGGAAAAAATATATTATATAACAATAATTGAATTTTTTGAAGGTTTAATTTATATAAAATTTATATTCTATTAATAATTTGTTAGTTATATGATATTTTTTGGAATTTGATTCTCTTTAGTTGGGAATCTAACTAAAGAGGTCCTGTTGAGTTTAAGGAGTTGTTTGGGGTGTCCTAAATAAGTGTATTTTTTGTCTTTTTAGACTAAAAAATTAAGGTTGAAAATATAGATGTTTGGGTTAAATTTTTGAATTCTTATGGCAAAATGTGCATTAAAAAATTATATAAAGAAGTGTGTAGGAGAAGATTAGAGATGTGTGTTGTACAGCCGTACAGTTGTGCAGCCGTAATTGTTGACTTTTGGTGAATAGTGTTAACTTTTTAACTTTTTGAGTAACTTTTTGACTTTTTGACTTTTTTGCAAGGACCCAAACTTAGCCTAAATGAGATCATTTTTGGATCAATTTTAGTAATTCAAAATTTTTATTTTATAGGATCAGTTGAGTAGGACATCTATATAAAAAATTGAGATATTGACTATTGCTAGCCATAAGATCATGGCACAATTGTGTTAAAAAAAATTATAGTCTATTTTTAAAATTATAATTGTGATTTGTTTTTTAAAAACATATGTAGTACAATTATATATTTATCAATATTCAATCAATTTAATTTTTTAAATGAATAATTTATTTAACAAATTGTATAAGATGAACCATTTCAATAACTAAAATGAGGACCGAGTTGAGCTTATTTATTGTATTTTTTTTTTAAATTGTAATTTAGCAGTTTAAAATCTTTCATTTTTTTTTTTTGGTAAACCAAGTACGTTTTGGGTAAGTAGAAACTTGGAAAATTAGCATGAAAAAATTAGTTAATGAAATTTAATTAGTGTATTATAATAAATTTAAATCATTCATTTGATGTTTTTAAATAAAATTCTGATTATTTTTTTTTTTTTTTATTTTTTAAATTTGTAGTATTCTTGAACTGCTTTTAACCATGCAATCCTTAACAAAACAAAGATACCTTGGCCATCGAATGACGTAAGTACTGTTTTGGACGGTTTCTTCAAATTGTAGGGAACTTTTCTCAAAATAAAATGATGTACCCATTTGATTTGATTCTCCGAAAACTCACCGGCACTGAACACTTCGTACTCATCTCTCTCTCTCTCTCTCTCTCTCTCTCTTCCCCACCATCACCATGAATCGCTTCCTCAAGAACTCTCTCTCTCTCTTCATTGGTAGTGTGAATCGAATTCAACCAATACCTACATCCATTCAGTTTTCTCGTCAATTTTCCGGGAATCTCGAACAGGACCCGTGTGAATCGGTGGAGGGTCTGGTCCGATGTCCAGCTAACCACATTCCTCTCTCTCCCATAACCTTCCTGGAGCGATCTGCAAAGGTTTACAGAGACAGAACATCGCTTGTGTACGGTTCTGTGAAGTACACTTGGAAGGAGACTCATGAGCGATGTCTCAGACTCGCCTCTGCTCTCACCCACTAGGGGATTTCCCCTGGAGATGTTGTAAGTTTGCTTCTTTCACTTTCTTTGTTTTGAATTTCCACTTGCATGTTCAAATGCGTTTTTTATTCTGATGCTTCATTGCTTGTTTAGGGGTGATTATTTGTTTCTGCTATGGTTTTGTTCTTTTGGTGAATTAGTGGACAAAGTGGTGCTCAATGGCAGAGCATGTTGTTAGTAATATAATATATTTAGGCAGTGCAACTTTCGGCTAATATAATATGTAATACAGTGCATTACTTTTGGATTGTTTTCGGCTCTTTTCATCATGAGCCATCATTGTCCATTGTCTGTAAAGATTGTATCTTCTCCTATATAAGGAGCCCCTCACCATTTGTAATATAACATTCAATACATATTCAATACACAATTCTTTCTCTTTCTTTATACATAAAACTAATATGGTATCAAAGCTAGGTTAACAACCTAATCATTCTGCTTCACCGGCGGGCGGCAGTCTCGCCTTGGCCGCCCGCCGGACCTCTACATATACCTTCACTCCGCTGCCACATTTCTTGCTGCCATGGACCATCAATATTTCTTGCTGCAGCCTTGTTACAACATAGATCTTACCCACGTCGTCGAGCACTCCGTCGGCCCACCCGACAGCCACCGACGCCGTGATCTGGCCAACGCCGACCACGCCACCTGTCACCACTGCTGCAGACGCCGTGACACAGGTTCCTGCTAGCTCACCACCGACGCAGCCGCCGCCGATGAGCTCGCTGGCTGGAGTGGCGCCGAAGACCAGCTTTTCCATGAAGTTGATTATCTCTCTCTCTCTCTCTCTCTAATTTGATACTCAATATGCACTGATCTGTCTCTTCTCTCGGGGCTGGTTCTCTTCACACATCACACACGCCTTAGGGTCTTTGGATCTGCCTGTTTTGTTCTTCTCCAACCTCATGAACGTACCAAACTTGAACCACGTTCTCGCCTTTGTTGCTTCTTAGGGTATGGTATTGAACACAAGGGGTATCGTTGTTGGGATCCTCTCTCCCAGCGCCTCCGTATCTCTCGTCATGTAGTCTTTTGGGAACACAAAATGTTTTCCTCTCTCTCTCTCTTCCGTTTGTCCGTTCCCTCACCCTCTCTGTTTTTTACTGACCCTTCCACGGATCTGTTCTCTGATGACCTTACTCCCTCGCCCTTGCCAGCCTCTCCCGAGTTCTCTGATGGGCTTACTCCACCGCCCCTGCCGGCCTCTCTCGAGACTGCCTTGCCTTCTGGTCTGTCCCATGCCCCTGCTCACTCTGATGGTCCTGCTCTTGCTTCCTCGGGATCCTCCCCTCCTGGTGAGTCTCTCCCTCTGGCTCCTCCTGCCTCTACTCGACCACACCGGGTAACATCGCTTGTGTACGGTTCTATGGAGTACACTTGGAAGGAGACTCATGAGCGATGTCTCAGACTCGCCTCTGCTCTCACCCACTAGGGGATTTCCCCTGGAGATGTTGTAAGTTTGCTTCTTTCACTTTCTTTGTTTTCTGAATTTCCACTTGCATGTTCAAATGCGTTTTTTATTCTGATGCTTCATTGCTTGTTTAGGGGTGATTATTTGTTTCTGCTATGGTTTTGTTCTTTTGGTGAATTAGTGGACAAAGTGGTGCTCAATGGCAGAGCATGTAATTTAGTTTTCTGATTTCATTTGATTTCTCAATGTTTGGTTCTAATATGTGTTGAAATTCAGTGGAATAGTAACAACAAAGACTATTTGAAGCAAATTGATTAAGTTATTATGTACTGATATTTGCTTCAAACTTATTTTGATTTCTTGGTGGATCAAATGAATACTTGAAATGTACCTTCTTTATGAAACATTGTATTTGTCAGTCTGATATCCACACGGTAATAGATTCAGAAGAAGAAACAGTTTTTATCATCACTGCCAGTCAATTTGAATTTGGTTCTCATTGTTTAAGTGACTATATTATATTATATCCATTCCAGGCCAAACAAAACAATTTTTATCTTCTTATTATGGATTTGAATTTGAATTTGAATTTGAATTTTCTTTTTTTGGGGATAAATAAACAGTAAATTTTATTAGAATAGAAGCATCAAGATAATGAATTTGAATTTTACCAAGCTTTGACTCTTTTGATTACATTATCAGTAAGTAGTCTTCTCTCTCCTCAGGAGTGGAGCATGGGCCAAAAGGAATGCAGTGGTTCCCACTGGGTGTGTTGGGCCGGGTTTAGATAACTTAAATAATCGTTTAATATAGGACAATCGTTTAATGTAAGGTGACTTATCTTCATAAGTTTCACAAGTAGTTCAATTGAAAAATTATAGGAACCACACATGAGACCAATCTAATTTCTCTAACAAAATTTCACTGCGTTAACATATGAGACCAATCAAGTAAACTATATTCCTTGTTTATTGCAAAGTTAATTTGGGATGTTTGATTTTGGAGGGCAACCCTTGTACAAAGTGGGATTTCCAAAATTTTGATGGGGCCAAATTGAGTTTGGGGACCATTATAAGTGGTTCATTTTTTTATGTGAAAGATTGGTAGAGAGGGAGAGAAAAGAGAGAGACTGAAAAGAAGGATTTGCATATACAATGTATGCTGTTGTATATCTGTTGTTACAGGAGAATGAGCTCTCTCTCT